TGTACTCTGTATCGGCAAGTACTCAGATCCAAGTATCGGTATCGTATCGGTTTGAAAAAATTGGTATCGTTGCATCCCTATTTAGGATTGCAATTTTAATTACTCTCCGATATCCGATCCAGTAATTTGGTTCAGCATCGGACCGATACCGATTTAAAACGAGGAAAAAAAGTACTCAAAAGCAGCTTTATTGCTGACTCAAAAGAAAAACAATACAAAAATGATACTGAGATAATATGAACTAAACTCATGGAGAGAGACACAGGGAAGCACACAGCAAAAGGGACGACACAGCAACAAGCAGGGTATGAAAGAGGACTAAAATACATGACTTAGTAATCAGGAAATGGGAGACAGAAGGGAAACACAGCTGGTACTAATTACACAGAGGAGATGGGGAACAGAGGCTGAACGTAGAGCAGAACTGTCAAAATAAAACAGGAAGTACACGACTGACAGAGACCCACACTAGACACTGAACAGAGTACAGAGACAGGAGCAACATGAGACATTACTGACTGGGGAACAACACAAACACGAGGACAGAACTAAACCGACACTAAACATGGGGGCACCAGAACAAAATCTAGGAACTAGGAATTAACAAAGCAAAAAAGGACTAGAGCGCTAACACAGAAACCAAAACAAAAGTAATCAAAAACCATGAAGTCACAAAATAATAATAATAACAATAATGCAACAAATCGAAAAGACTGGGTTAGTGACCCAGGACCGTGACGATACTGTTGAACTGATGAAATCTACTTAAGGTTTTAAATTAAGCAGCAATCTGTGCAACTGGGTAATCAGCTACGTTAAGATTTTTACATTTTGTCTGTGTCACGGTTTGGCATGGCAGACCGTGGGGATGTGGGGAAGGAGGACCCAGGCACAGTGCTCTGTGTATAAACAGTGCGTTTATTTAAAGTGTGTGGAAATAAGAACAATAAATCCCAGTGCTTTCCCCGACTTCCACTCCGTGTCTTCTCCCAGTGTTTGTGCTCCATGTGTCTGCTCCCTTGTGCCCGTGTAGACTGTGCCTGCTGCCCTCTCATCCAGCAATCCTCCTGGGAAAATAGAGGCAGTAGTTAGCACCCTTAATTACACTTGGTAAGTTCACACTCACAAACAGACCAGCTGGAGAACTGACGGGAAGTCTCACGCAATGATCCCGCGTCGGTGGGAGCTCCAAGACTCTCTTAAGTAGCTCCCCCGACCAGGCCTGATCAGCAGCAGGTGTGTGGCTTTGGGTGTGGCCAGTTCGCCAGCAGGGCCACACCCACCAGGCCTGAAGGTGCCCGCAGAAACACATATACACACACACACACACACACACACGCGTGCAAAGAGGGAGAAGAGGGACAGCAACACCAAAAATACATAAAATAACACAAGTCCATGACTGCCCATGGATCCTTGGTCACTCAGGCCCAGGACCCTGACAGTCTGACATGTTTTTTGAGATTTTAATATCCAGTTATTTGACTTTTGTGTAATTAAAAAGATTACAAAAGTAAAGAAAAAACTATTGAGTTTTGCTAAACAGAAAAAGTTACTCTGTTGTACTCATTCTATTTAGGTTATGTTATAAAAATGTTGTAACATTATTAATACTATTAATAATATTAATTGTACATGATTGCGCTACACATAGTTATTGCAGTTTGAATAAAAAGAAAAGAAAAATAAACAGAATTAAAAAATATTGCTCATTCACCAGCAGGACTTTCTTTTGTGTGTTATCGTTTTCTCCATTTAAACTCAAAGAACAGTATAACTATTTAAAGGGTTTAAAATTTTCAGACTTTTTCAGTGATTCGTCTAACAGCCCAGTTTCCACAATAAAAACTTTTTATTTTTCTCAGGAGGACTTTCCACTCTTCCTCCCCACTCCAGAGAATACCACTTTGTGAACCAGCTGAAGACCTGGACTGAAGCTCAGAGCTACTGCAGAGAACACTTCACTGACTTGGTCACCATCTACAACAGCAACATCAACCAACTGCTTTTCTCAATGTCACCAAGAATCAATGCTTTTGCTTGGATAGGGCTCTATGATGATCGTTACAGCTGGAAGTGGTCCATGGAGGGAAAACTTTTTTATGTTGGCAGCACACATGAGTTTTTGATCTGGGCTAACGGCCAACCAACCAGTGCAAATGTAAAGGAATACTGTGTGGCTCTTCAGGGACAAACACAGATGGATGATAGACCCTGTGGAGCTTCTTACCCTTTCCTGTGTTACAATGGTAGGAAAAAGATTTGTTGCCCTAGTTGTCCTACTAATTTATGAGATTCATAGTCTGTGTGTTTCAAAATTAATCCTTTTTTTTTTAAATTTCACAGCCAAAAATACAAGTTACATCTTAGTGAATGGAGAGCCGCTCCTGGTCAGCGGCTCAGTCGTACTGCAGGACATACCACACAGACCTGACCAGTATAAGAAGCAAAGAGGAGAAATCCATCATCACGCTCACTTTGAATGGATCAGGGGTTCAGTATGTGTGGATTGGCCTCTACAGGGATCCCTGGGCCTCCTGGTCTGACAACACCACCTCCACATTCACTAACTGGATGTCTGGTCAGCCTGATAACTACGGTTCAGTTGAATACTGTGGAAATTTGAATTTAATGTCGGGGCAATTGAATGATGGCAACTGTGGTATCAGAATCTATTTTTTCTGTTTCACAGGTGAGGTCCAGAATGCAAACACTGTAAGATCCTGTCATCATGTAAAACACTAATGTTTGTGTTGTTATATGTGGTTCATTTTTAGCAGTGACAAAGCAAACAGTGGTGAAAATGAAGCTTCAGTCAGAGGCAGACATGCACAGCACAGAGATCCGGCAGCAGGTTTCACAGCAGGTCAGCAGTTCAGTCACCAACACAAACTTGACACAAGTTCAAACTATGCTTCATGTTTTTCATCATCTGCACATTTTGTCCAGCTGTCAGGCCTCATGCTGTCAGAAGGACTGACAGACTTCAGGATTCATTGGAGGAAAGTCCAGAGTTACCGTGACGACCAGTCGAAGAAGCAGGATGTGGACGGTGACTGCAAAACTGAAGTCTGACTGGACTGAACCACTTCATGTGTGAAGTTAATAACATGCTGTGCTGAGCTGTCTCATCCTTTAAATCTTTCAATATTTCAGAGTGTAAAGTTCCACCAACAGCTCATTTGTTCAGCTGCAGTTGTAGTTTGGTAGAAATTCTTTAATCAGAGGTCCACTCACTAGTTTTCCTGATAGGCTCTAGTCTCTTGATTTGTTTTGCAGCGTCTCTTTCAACACTTTAGACACTGTCCTTCTGTGGACGTCACTGCACAGGCATTGTCTGTGTGCAGTTTATTAGGATCCATAGTTCTGTTTCATCTGACAGCAACCTCTGCTGACTTACACAAATGATGGAGAAGAAAGTGGTCTTAGTTTTGACTTGTATTTTCGCCTGTGTTGACATGTTTGTCTGCTTTTTGTGTTTGTAGCTTTCAGCTTTCTTCATGATATATTTGAAAGGGTTTTAATGTGTTCTGTGGTTTCATTCATGTTTTTGTGTGTTACAAATAATACACAGCTATTTGGGTTGAAAATGATAAATCCATGTAGACAGGTATAGAAAAAGTAATACAAAATGAGAGAGATATATTAAAATAGTAAGTGAACAGAACGGTCTAACCATTATTTATTGCCTTTTTGAGATTTATTTCTTATTTAATAATATAATTTGACTTCAACAAATTTATATTTTGCCAATATTGACATTTTTGTTTGTTTCAACAAAGCTGGAGTGAACCCATGAAAATAATTTCATTTTATTCATGTGAACTTAATTTGTGGTGTAGGTAACTTGATTGTACTTTTCTGTTAATAAATGAATGAGTCATTTGTGTGTTTTGACACTGAGTCATAAATCAGGTGAAATTGCTACAGATCCATGAAAGTAAAGCTAGTTTGACACTGAAGCTTTTTTGTTTCTTTAGTTTTGTATGCGTCTGTGTAAGTTTGAGGTCCATGTCAAAATCACAGGCATTCAAAGGTAAAGGGCCTTAAGTTATATGTTAGTTATGAGAATATTCATCAGTGTTGTGCTTCTACTACACACCAACAAATCCCTCTCGTAATGAGGACGCATGTGATCTTTCTCTTTGTGTTAGGTAAAGAAGGTGTGGCTGGAGTGTGTCCCAGCTACCATGGGGTGAGATGCATGGTACACGCTGGAAAGGGTGCCATCCTGTCATTGGTTTAACACAGGGGTGTCAAACTCCAGTTCTCGGGGGCCAGTGTCCTGCAGGTTTTAGATAACGCCCTGGGTCAACAGACCTGAATCAAATGATTAGTTCATTACCAGGCTTCTGGAGAACTTCAAGACATGTTGAGGCGGTTATTTAGCCTTTAAATCAGCTGTGTTGATCAAGGACACATCTAAAACCTGCAGGACACCGGCCCTCGAGGCCTAGAGTTCGACACCGGTGGTTTAAAACATAAAGATGAGCTTCAGTTCATCCTCTGTCTTTTTTTTCTTTTTTTTTTTTTTTAATAAATAGGACAGGGGGAATGAATGAGAGAAAGAGGGGGAGAGAAAGAAAGAAAACCAAAGGGGAGAAGAGACGGTGAGAAGGGGGGGGAAGAAAAAAAAAAAAAAAAAAACTCCTGGGTCACCTGTATGGAGAAAAAAACAAAAAACAAAAAAAACAAACAGAGGAGACAGCAAACAACAAAGAGCAACATAATAATAGAGAAAACAAAGCACCATCACAATAAACTAGCTAGTCATAGATATCAATAGTTACTAAATAATAAACGATATTGTGCAGCACGCAAGATAGACAGCGCACAGTGTGCTTTGAGGCAGCAGCCAAGAAAGCTTTAGTCCGCGTCTGTGAATACCCATGTGTACACCTGTGTGCATACCTGTGTGGATCAGCATGCTTGCATTCCAAAGGTTTCTCCATGTAATGATCTGCTAGGGAGTGTGGGCCACACCCGTCTCATGTCGCATACTGCTGTTTCTGATGTCATTAAAAAAAAACAAAAAAAACAAAAAAAAACAACATAAAGATGAACAACCATTCACACCTATGGACAATTTAGAATGACCAATTAACCTAATCCCAGGTTTTAGGTTTAGAAAATAACCGGTTCTGTTCCCTGTAAAATAACGAAACTGGAATTTATTTAAAACGTTTGCGGAATCCCACAAAACACACCTTCATTTCTGTTGCTTTAATGTCCCATGTGGAGATCCGTAAGATATGAGCACCCCACGTGACCGCTTACAGCAAACCTCAGCAGAGTAGCAACTGTCACTACCCGATCCGTACCGGAAACCCGATCAGTACCCCGCATGCGCGAAAGGTGTCTACTTCCGGTCGAAGCGTTTTACGATAGTTACAGGTCAGAGTAGAGGTTAAGAATAATAAATATCTCTTAAAATGTTTCCGATAATGAAACATTTAATATAATGTAGACAAAAACGAAAAATAAAAAGATAGTTACGGATCAGCACTCCACGATCCTTACTGCGCATGTGCAAAGTCGGACTGTACAAATCAGGTCTACCCGATCCGTACCGCGCATGTGCAGGGGTTTTCTTCTTCTTCTGTTCGTTTAATGGCAGTTTGATCCTCAGTGTACGAGGATACTGCCACCTGCTGACTGAGTGAATAAACCCTATTGTAAACTGAATTAGCGTCATTTCAAATGCGTGTTAAATAGTGATGCGCAAATCTTGAACGAATCGTTCAATACTCGAGAATCACTTTACTGACTCATGAATCATGATTCACAAGCCCAACTGACTCACTGACTCATCCCTGTTGCTGTTAGCAGCAATGTATCTAGCTTATAATTAAAATTGTGGAGAAAAACACAACATCCAGTATCGTAACAAAAAAATTTCTGCTCTGAACTGGAAGAAAAAACCCTGAGTAGAAGCTCACATCAAGAAAATAGCTCCTCGGTTCACAGTAGCATCGCTCTGCTAACATGCTAACAGCACATTTGAGCTACTCACCCCCTCCCTTCCTGTGCTGAATCGTAAGCGTAAGAATCACTCAGTGTGTTCATTGTGAAACCTGGCCCCACCTTATCATGCGAATTCCTGAGGTCAGATGGCCCAGGATGTGAGTGGGCGTTAAGGCGTCTGGGAAGGGATCTCAAAACTGGATTATAGATGGCAGAGAGTTGGTGTCGTAAACCCCGCCTCTGTTCAAAGATGGTCGCTCACAGTGGACATAGATGGCTTCTTTCACTCCTCTTTCAAACCATCTGTCCTCTCTGTCCAAAATGTGAACATTGGCATGCAGATAGTGCAAATAGGCACAGTGATGGCAGGTAGTCCACTACACATTTCTCTGTAGGAATAAAACAGTGTTTCCTTCTAGAAGAGTGAAAATGACTTTAAGCCTCTGCCAAACTACAGAAACTCAAGTGGGACATGTTCTGTTGCCTCAAAGGGGAAAACCACCGACAAAGGTCAGGTCTCACCTGTCACATATAAAAAGGCAAGGCAAGGCAAGGCAAGTTTATTTGTATAGCACAATTCAACAACAAGGTGATTCAAAGTGCTTTACAGAGACATTAGAAACAAAAACAAATAAAAAGCATGATTTAAAATTGATTAAAACAAGCAAATAAACTAACTAACTAATTAACAAACAAACAAACAAAACAGTATATAAAAAAAGATAATAATCAGCTGTTCCAGAGAGTTTAGACTTTCAGTCAATTTTTTTCTTTATGCTTTTGTGGAATCAGATTAAGAATAATAATAATATCCAAGAATAATAGGAGATTGCATCTGTGTTCTCATCCTATGCGGCAAGGAAGAATATACTACTCCAATGGATTTATGAAAAAGCACCAACTATTAAAGGTTGGCAAAGAGTAGTGTTGGATCTAGTGCCATTGGAATATCTTACATGTGTACTGCACTCAAAAACAGATCAATTCTTTAAGGTGTGGGAACCATACTTGAACTATGTGGAACCTGATGTTTCTAATATTATGTTACAAGGATTCTCTTGAGTGTTCAAACTGCAACGTAATACTGGGACCACAGGTATTGTACTGTATTGTATTCTCTCTTTATTTATTTATTTATTTTTTAGATGGAACTGAGCTGGTGTTCTGTGCTTAGTTATCAGTCTGTTTTTTTTGTTTTTTATTTTTATTTTTTGTTAGTTTTTATTTATTTATTTATTTTTGGTTCTGAATTGTACACTTTATTATGTTATGTAATTATGTACTATTTGTGAAAACAGAAAAACTAATAAAAAATATATATTTAAAAAAAAAAGAAGAACTAAAGAGACTAAAACACCAAATAATTTTTAATGATTTCATTTGTTGCAGCTTTAAGGCAGGGATGACTCCGGGAGTTGCTTTCTCACTGCATATGCTTTATTTCAAAATCAGATTGGTAAAGGGCAGAGACCTCCAGTCCGACTCAGACGCCAGCAAGGTGGAGGTGGAGTACTGGTTTGGGCTGGTATCATCAAAGATGAGCTTGTGGGGCCTTTTCGGGTTGAGGATGGAGTCAAGCTCAACTCCCAGTCCTACTGCCAGTTTCTGGAAGACACCTTCTTCAAGCAGTGGTACAGGAAGAAGTCTGCATCCTTCAAGAAAAACATGATTTTCATGCAGGACAATGCTCCATCACACGCGTCCAAGTACTCCACAGCGTGGCTGGCAAGAAAGGGTATAAAAGAAGAAAAACTAATGACATGGCCTCCTTGTTCACCTGATCTGAACCCCATTGAGAACCTGTGGTCCATCATCAAATGTGAGATTTACAAGGAGGGAAAACAGTACACCTCTCTGAACAGTGTCTGGGAGGCTGTGGTTGCTGCTGCACGCAATGTTGATGGTGAACAGATCAAAACACTGACAGAATCCATGGATGGCAGGCTTTTGAGTGTCCTTGCAAAGAAAGGTGGCTATATTGGTCGCTGATTTGTTTTTGTTTTGTTTTTGAATGTCAGAAATGTATATTTGTGAATGTGGAGATGTTATATTGGTTTCACTGGTAAAAATAAATAATTGAAATGGGTATATATTTGTTTTTTGTTAAGTTGCCTAATAATTATGCACAGTAATAGTCACCTGCACACACAGATATCCCCCTAAAATAGCTAAAACTAAAAACAAACTAAAAACTACTTCCAAAAACATTCAGCTTTGATATTAATGAGTTTTTTGGGTTCATTGAGAACATGGTTGTTGTTCAATAATAAAATTATTCCTCAAAAATACAACTTGCCTAATAATTCTGCACTCCCTGTACTTTTTATCAGTTTAGGTTTTTTTTTTTTAGTCCAAATTTCAATCTATCAAATTACCATGCTATTTGTACTCTCCTGTAAGGGCATTAACTTTGTCCACATCTCATCTGAACACTAAGCATCTTCCCTTTACTCATACACATGTTCGGCCTGCAATCCATGTGTCACGATATTTCAATCAACATAGGTACATTTGTTACAATCTGAAATAGGGGTACCAAGTGTAAACATTATATCTTCCTCTTTTACCAAGGTCGCCAGTAACCTTGAATATTCACACATTTGGTGGCCACTATTCTTTCTTCAAGACTTGGTTGTCCAAGTTTACTATAGGTCAAAGTCTGTGGTCTCCTCCTTTCTCTCTTTGGGTATGGACTTGGCTGGTCTGTTTCCAAAGCCTCTTCGACATCAGAGCTGCTGTCCACCTCCCCTGCACCCACAATAGCCACATCCTCTGGTTCCATATTGTCCATTTTCTCCTCATCAGCTTGGCTGGGGTCCCCCTGGCCATCTCCTGACATGTGAGGAA